TCTATGCATAATGTCCACATGAATGTGTAGGGAAATTTTGTGGTAACCTCACCTGTTTTCTTCTGTATTTGGATTTGGAAATGGTCTCAAGACAACATAAACCATAATTGCGCCCTCTTTGTCCGCATTAATTCAGAATGGAGAAGGCATTTGCGACCTGCATAGAGAAAAGTACTTTTGTTGCAGGCGCGCCGAGAGACAGAACGAAGGAATTCGTCGCAGTTAGTAAGTTTCTTGGGTCTTTTTCTGATGGTCAGTACACACCGTATTAGGTGCGTGGTAAGGTTTTATCTTCAGCGTTATAGTGACCTGAAATTGCCACTGAAAGGGTTAGTTTGGGTGTGGGGGTGCAGAACAGACAGACAGCGCCTATCGAACGGATTGAGACGGTAACGCGGGATCATGTAGCAAGCTGGGTGGGCAAATAGTAGGGATATGTTGATCCGCGAGCAAGTCGCGTTATCCCAATAGCGATATCATACTTGGGTTCTTGGATAGCCTCGTACATAGACATTCTCAGGGGGTCCATTGGGGTTGTCACGGTGGTTAGGGCTACCCAAGGGACCGTGACAAACTGAAACCACCATGGATTAAGGATATTCCTGGGTCCATCGGGGGCGTGGTTTACTGTTGCCATTCAAGTGAGGCAATAAAGCGACCTTACCTATATTGAGGACCCAAAATAGAAAATGTGTCAAAACCTTCTGCGAGAGGGTACTGTTGTGTGAGTGGCCCTACACAGCAGGCAGCCAACAAGAGTCAACATTAATAACTGCTGCAGTGAAGCGACACTGCTCGGTTTCGAAAACGATACCCGATATCCAGGCAGGGATGGAAGATATGCGGTCGGTAAAAACATTTGTGGGCATGTGTAGGTATTGCGGATATACATTAGATAAATTAGACATTAGACAAATTAGACAGATAAATTAGTCATTGGATAAATTTCGCTGAACCAGTGTGGTTCGGAGCAAGCAGGGACTATAGAAGGAAAACTCAAGGTGCCCGATGATGTCGCATGTTTTGGTGATCAGCTGTTTCACGCGAATGGCGCAGCTGCAGTCTAGGGAAAACCGCGCAAACCTTTGCGAGTCGAGTTTTATAAGAGGAATTATACCGCGTGCATATAGTTAGTCTCCGTTGGTAATTCATAGGAAGATTTTCGAGATATACGTTAGCTTGAGCCAGCGGCAGTGTGTTCGACAAAAGTTGTTTGCATCTTGGAATTCTCCTTCATCCACTGAAGAATGCGGAATGTGAGGTTCAGCATGGGGTAGAAAATGTCTTTGACGGGATGGCACGCGGATAAAGTTAGGAACGTTAACCGTACAATCTTCCGCAGTGTCTGAAAAAGGAGGTGCGTAATGGGTGGACGTGGTGCCGAAAGGTTTGATGAATGTGTACTTCTGGGAAGCGAACGAAAAGATTAATCCAGTGGGACCAATCTGGATAGACAGAGGGGCTCATTCAGTGGATGGCTTTTAAGGAGTCAGTGTCCATCGACCACTTAGAGAACAAAGGCGGTAGTAGTGGTAGTGTGGTGATGAATGTTACTTGGATGTGGGATGTAAGATATTTGTTCCCGATGCGGTGAGATATCGTAAGACTTGCAGGTTCCAGCTAGATCATCGTCTTTGTCAGGAGTGGTTGTGTTTGTGGCTTATCTATTCGGATATTGCGGACATTATTTTGGAAAAAAGACAAGTGGCGATACTTCGCCACAAACTGTGTTGGATGAGGTCCAAACCCATATGACGGACATGGAAAAGAGCCTCACGATCGCGGCTTTGTACACATCTGTCTGAGATGCGGATGCTCTTTTATACATAACCGGATGTTGAAGATCACATGCATCAGTTCACAAGCCCAAACACACGACCTGATAGTCTCATTCCCAGAAAAGAGCTTTTGGTTGGTGACTCTGCAACTGCGGTTGAATATGGGATGGTTTTCGGTAATGATGATGACGAGGTGTTTTTATTAAGCTTTGGGGTATCTGTATCGGGGAGCAGAGTGTGAGTAAACTGATGATTTGGCGCTCTAAATGGGCGGATTCGACACCATGTACCCGCCCACTCATTAGGCTGTCTTTAAGCCTGCAGCCATGGGTGCACTTTTAGGGTAGGATCAGTTACTTGCATCGTAATGCTCGGGTCTATACCATTTGATTTTACGAACGACTTGTACATAAACCCTTCAGCCTCAACTTTGCAGCTTCCACCAGTGCATACGATCACTGAATTCCCTATCGGTGTGTGCCAATGAGACCAATTGAGCAAGTAGTTATTTTACCTTTATAACAGTAAGACCTCAGCTTCGGCACGGACACCAATCCGGCATTGTGAACTAGACTTGGTAAGAACTTACCTGCATAACCACCTCAAATTTGTCTAATTGCGCGTTTCCAATGACTGTCGGAGCTGTACATGAGCTGTAAAAGACTGCGCATCCTTCGTCTCAGAAACCCTTTTAAGTGAAATCTGCTTCCTGAGGACTGTAAATTACACTACTCTTGTACCAACGCAACGAACGAACAGAAACACTCAATGCGCCGATGGTGACTGCGCATTTTTCAGACATAGACCTTGCGGACGGGCAACATATATGAATACAAATGACCGTCGTTGGCCGTTAGGTTGGTCTATCAGGTATAATTGACGCCTCATCTTCATAAACCCGCATAGACGCTGGCCTCATGTTTACATTAAGTAGCCTAAGTAAGCCATATCGCTTGCAGTTGTGAGTATGGTGGGCCGCCATTCGCAGTCAGTCTATTACGCATAGTTGAGTCCTCATAATTGGCGCCGCACACAGACCCAAGCCTAATGGTTACTATGGGCCCATAGAGTGGAGATTGTGTGTACACGGGTCATGGCCAGCACTGGTTGGTCTTCTGTTCCGTCAGCTCGGTGGAGCTCTGTGATATTGCGGACATTATTTTGGAAAAAAGACAAGTGGCGATACTTCGCCACAAACTGTGTTGGATGAGGTCCAAACCCATATGACGGACATGGAAAAGAGCCTCACGATCGCGGCTTTGTACACATCTGTCTGAGATGCGGATGCTCTTTTATACATAACCGGATGTTGAAGATCACATGCATCAGTTCACAAGCCCAAACACACGACCTGATAGTCTCATTCCCAGAAAAGAGCTTTTGGTTGGTGACTCTGCAACTGCGGTTGAATATGGGATGGTTTTCGGTAATGATGATGACGAGGTGTTTTTATTAAGCTTTGGGGTATCTGTATCGGGGAGCAGAGTGTGAGTAAACTGATGATTTGGCGCTCTAAATGGGCGGATTCGACACCATGTACCCGCCCACCCATTAGGCTGTCTTTAAGACTGCAGCCATGGATGCACTTTTAGGGTCGGATCAGTTACTTGCATCGTAATGCTCGGGTCTATACCATTTGATTTTACGAACGACTTGTACATAAACCCTTCAGCCTCAACTTTGCAGCTTCCACCAGTGCATACGATCACTGAATTCCCTATCGGTGTGTGCCAATGAGACCAATTGAGCAAGTAGTTATTTTACCTTTATAACAGTAAGACCTCAGCTTCGGCACGGACACCAATCCGGCATTGTGAACTAGACTTGGTAAGAACTTACCTGCATAACCACCTCAAATTTGTCTAATTGCGCGTTTCCAATGACTGTCGGAGCTGTACATGAGCTGTAAAAGACTGCGCATCCTTCGTCTCAGAAACCCTTTTAAGTGAAATCCGCTTCCTGAGGACTGTAAATTACACTACTCTTGTACCAACGCAACGAACGAACAGAAACACTCAATTCGCCGAGGGTGACTGCGCATTTTTCAGACAAAGACCTTGCGGACGGGCAACATATATGAATACAAATGACCGTCGTTGGCCGTTAGGTT